GTGAAAAATTATACCCATCAAACACAATAATTTACAATTATCAAGAAACGATTTCTAGGCAATTCAATTCCCTGGAATTCGTTTTCTAAGCAATTCAATTCTATCTTTGTAATCAAATGGACCCAAAATTATTTTATGTTGAAAATTTTTAATGGTGAAAATATATTGTTCAAAATGAATTTTAGAAAAAAATTGAAATAATGACACATTTTTCAAAAAAAAATTATTTTTTGCATAATCCATATTAAAACAATGGGTCAAACATGGCTTAATTTATATTTAATTGAATTTTCATGGAATCATGTACTTTTTTCAAATGTTATCATGCAATGAATTACTAATGACCATAATATGATTAAGATAAATAGAATTACTCAATGAATAAAATTATTCGAAAATGAATAAAAGAATTTCAGTGCAGTTTACACCAATGCTCATCTGGTAATGTTACATAGCTTCAATGCCTAGCATCAATAGACTCATTGTACAAGTTTAGTAGGCCTTTACTATCATCTAAACTGATACTAGATAGCATCGTTCATGCATATAACTATCATCTTGTTATTTGGGAGAATAGGTTGGAGGCCAACGGTATAATTTCATAAAACACGAATACTGATAAAAAGTTGCTGATAAGATGCTCTCATCAACATCAATCTTTAAACATAAACGAGGTATACAACAAACCTATAAAATGTGAGAAGCAGCTAATCTACACAGCAATGATACAGTCCACAGGTGAATCTGTGATTACAAACAACACAAATTTAAAGATTCATCTGAACTCGTGGCTCAAGCACGCCATGCTCGCAGAACGGCCAACCTCCATGCACGACCCCTGGCTGCCCATTTACGCCAGATACTAATGACAAGGAAAGTGAGAACGAGCACATTGGTACCGACATCAAGCATTCTGTGAATCCCCAGCCCTCCTGTAGAGCGGTATATGTAAAAACTATTTTACTTGACATCGAACTCATGGATTAGAAGACACAGTTAATTTCAAAGCCATAGTAGCCAAATCATATTACACAAGCATGATGGTGGTGAGAGCCCAAGAAATCCCCCTTCCATAGTAATTTATATTGCAAATCAAAAGGTCGAAAGAAATTAGGTACAAACCAGTTGGGATAAACTCAAACTCCCCTATTTCATAGAGAAAAGGCAGAAGAACCTGCAAATAAAAATGGCAATAAAATCACCTCTAGGCAAAAAATGAAGAAGCTAAACCATGAAATGCAAATCTAATACTACAAGTCAAAGGTTGAAGAAAGATGTAAAGTTCGGCTTACAGTTTGTTGAGTAATTATGCGGAGACCTTACCCCAAGAAAGCGCATTATGTAGTAGATAAATCGAAAATGATGGGGCTCCATCATTATTCTGAATATTCTCCTAATAACAAGCGGTGATGCTTGTATTTTCTGCCAAATATGAAGTGACATCATCAGCAAGCATGTACAAGTGCCAAAGTCCCCGGAGATTAAAAAGGGAAGAAAAGTACATGATCCGTCAGAGAGGGGAAAATAAGTGAGGAGTACATGAATAAAAAGCTAGAGAAAGAAAATCCAGTATACATATTTCAGTAGCATTCTGTAAACAATTAACTCAAACTGCACGGCAGAAAAGAGAATAAAGTAGAATTACACAACTATTACCCACTTAAAAAATGATTATTCCATTGGCTAACTGTGATATTTTGTTGAGTCCATAGATGATATTATATACATGAACACAGTTGACCACGGCGCCATCAAAAAGAACAATTCATAGACATAATAAGTATGCACAAAGGTAATGTGTGCGCTAAAATTGGAAAAGACCCATTTTCCATTAAAGAAAAATCCAAAGTTTTGTACATAAAAAATGAGGGGAAGAAAGGGAAGGGGTAGTGTGAATTGAAACCTTTGATATGAATAAATCAGGCTTAATTACATTTACCACTTACAACAAAAGGTTTCAACTTTGACAAGGTATACAACTTTTCAACTTATTAACTTATCAAAATAAGTGATCCTTTTAGCTTTTGCTAATAGTAATAATAATTTATCCAAACAGGAGCAAACAAAATAATTATTCAAAAATATGTTTGACTTATTTTTAAGCTTAGCTACAAGGATTAACTATTCATTGCACATATTGTCCACCTTTTGCTCAAATAAAAAATTCTTTAATGGTTCAATTCTCGAAATTCTTACACTACCTATTAAGCAACCATATTATATCTAGGAGGAATGTGTAATTGTTGGGTTGTGCGCCCATATAGTATATTTTGCTATGATAAAACAATAATGTATAATAAATAAATTGTGGTTTTATTTATTTATTGCATTATTTATTATTGAGTATGCATATTAAAGTGTCATTGATCACTTGAGATAATGAATGTTGGGTACTTGCGTTGAGAAGTACGATGTGATACAACTTATAATTTGATCATAAATAATTTGTTCACAACCAATGCATAAGAGTTGACACCTTGTCCTGAAGGTTCTAGTGTTAACCGATTCACTATTAAGGTTTGTGATTTATCCTTATAACATAAATAGCTAAAGGTGACACTAGTACACTTGGAGTGTACCGTGTCGAATTTAATTCTATAACATGGCCGTGCGGAGAATTAAATTGCATTAGACCGCTGTGTATTTCATCCAAATCCCTTGACAGAATTATGTATATCTTTTCGTGATTTTAATGGTTCTTTAATTCATCAATGGGTGAGATCAATTTGATTGGCCAAATATTTCAATGAGTTGGGAATTTAAGAATGAGCGGAGTAGAGAACATGAATTCGTATCGAGAACCGTCGCCCTGGAAAATAGGTAGAGTGACTACTTAAGTATTTTTTGTTGAACTGTTAAAATTTGAGCTCGGTGTTTAGCGACGGCTAAATTTCGACATCTGTGATAAGTTCACAGGACCGTTGAAGAAAATTAAACTTAAATTAGTTAGACTAATTAGAAGGACAAAACGGCAATTTATACTCGTACCTAATTATCGGATCTCGAATGGGGATAAAATACATATCCAGCAGGTCAAAGGAAAGTATTATAGATTTTTAGGCTTCTGTGATCTTATATATTCCGAGAGTTCAATATTTTGCTTTTAGTGGAAAAAACAAAGACTAATAATTAGATTGAGTTGTTTAGGGCTGACACGACAGGATTTAATTATTAAAGCTTGGATAATATATGTCCGATCAGGTCCCTATGGTAACTCCATAAAGTATGGGAACTTAATTATGGCAATTATAATAGTTTTTGGCTTAATTGTAATTACAATAAAGTTTTGTACTTGGTTATAATTACTATAAAAGCTATAAACTTAATTATAATTGTAATTGAAGTTCTAAGACTATATATGTAATTAAATGTAAACTAATTG